AATGCTTCACATAACTAAATATTCTTAAATATATACCTACATAGCCAAATTATATATTTTACTTTGAGTTTTATATGTACTGTTAGTTGTCTAACCATTGTACCCTCTATAAGTAAGAAGCCCACGTGGGGTCTCTCAGCAGTTTTATCAACTTCTCTATTTTTTAATTTTTTACCACCCACTACTCGACTCAACTTTTCCCAAGTTGGGCAACTGTCAACATCTTATTTTTTATTTTTTGCAAACAATTAGTTTCACATTTCGACATACTCATAATTACAAGAGTCTAGCAAAAACAGTTATAAATAATTTTACGCGGCGTACTGTGAATTACAATCCAAAACAAGTAAATGGCAAGAGCAAACATGGAATCCCTGCTTTGTACAATAATTATCGCCTGGCAACCGCTATAAAACGTCATGTGCTTCATTCCTCACTTGGCTGATTTTTAAAGTGCAATAACAATAACAAAAAAAATAAAACCTTTAAGAAAAATGAAGTAAAATAAAATTACGTATTTATTATCGTTAACTAAATGCCAGTGTAACTGCATGAAATACTCACGAGCAATTAGTCTGCTCTGAGATCTTTGATTAACTAGCCTAACTGTCTGCATTCTTCGTAGATTCTAGAATTTCCACAGTGCGTGCATAATACTAGATTTAGGTTAGCTTTAGTTTTGGTTCGTGAATTGTGGTGATTAGTAACGCAATCCGCAGTTGGCTGCTGAAAGAAAGCGGCAAATGCTTCAATTAAGGCTAAAGATTATAAATTATTGGTGTTCTTTAAGAGTTGATTTAAATTTTTTCAAAGATTATCAAAGAGTGAAACAGATACAGAGCGAGTGGGCAATGCGACGGAGAGAAGTAAGTGAATGAAAATGCTTCTCCCATTACATTTTCTCAATGATCATCAAAGAAGACTTTCCAGCATTACAATCATAGTTTTATTTCTTAAGCCTGTCCAGATTAACGCTCCACAATCGCTGCTCATCTTTCGATCATTAGTTAAATAATTCCTGTTTGCTTGTAGAACAATTTTGTCATTTGTTAGATATGTTGGGCTTACTTACTAATGCTTTGTATAAAACGATCGCCGATCAAGATTTGCAGCTCTCACTCAAACAGAATTATCTAACGTTCTCAAGAGTTCAATTAAATTTGTTAAGGCGATCTTCAATGTAAAGTCTAACAACGAATTTTCTGTATTACTCTGTGAGCTTTTCACATAACGATCACCGATCAACGATCATCTCTTTGCCTAACCTGTTGATCATGTGAAACAGAAATTCCTCACGTTCTGTTCATCAATCAAAGAAACAGTTCAGACTTGAATGACTGTCTGATCAAGTTTCAGGTCTCTGGCCAGATCATTAGAGAGGACCGTCACAGTTTTCAGCAATAAAGTTTCCAACGTTTTCTGTTTCACTCGAAGTGAAATCATCTTAATTGCAAATCGATTTCATACTAAAGATCATTTGTGGATCTCCGTTGCAGCTTTAGCAAAAACTGGTTTAGCACATGCACCACGATCATAAGTAGATCTCTCATATTGTTGTTGGCAGAGTTTTTTTTCTTTCTAGATTCTAAGCCATCCGTTCATCTTCAGTGCGTTGCTGCTGAAGCGGAAATGATAGCTCTTCTAGTCTAAGGTCTGCGGATTGCTTCAGGGGTTTCCATTACCATTTCTTTTGGTCTGCACTTGCTGTAATATTTCGCTGGAGTCACGTTTATAACTTGTTTTGATTTGGGTTAAGTGTAGGGTTCAAATTGCAAGCCAAACCCTGCGCTCTCTTCTTTCATCAGCGTTGGTTTCTTACTCTGCCATGGGTTTGCCAGTGGCTATAGTTCAGCCATGTCTCGTAATTTGAACTACGTAATGGTTCGATTGTGCTGTAAGATTACGGTAGGTCAGTATGAAAAATATCTCTGACTTAATTTATATGTCAAATATGTATATAATTATAATAATATTATGTTATTGCTTTTTTAGTACAGTTTAAAAACTAAAATCTTGTTTTAAACTTTTGTTATTGCTTAAAAATTTGCTATTTTTATTTTAAGGTTTTTTTTTTTTTTCATTTATAGGCGTTTATTTTCTATTTATGTAGTATTATTTTAAAGTTAAGAAAAAAATAAATAAATAAGTAAATAAAGAACACACCTTGGATAAATAAAAATTTGTATTAAATATTCTTAACAAATTTATTAGCGAATTATTTGATTTTTTTTTTCAAATTGATTTATATCCTAATTTTTATTTAATTTAAAAACTTCTATTATATTGCCTTTTTTTTATATATATATATACATAATAGCTAAATAAAGATTTGAAAGAAACTTTTTTTTTTTAATAAAAAAGACTGGAGTCAGGCTTCGTTACGTTAGAAATGATTTTCGGTATGATTTTGGTTGAGCCTAAAAGTATGCTACGATTTTGTGTATTAATAAATTTCTAAACTCAATCATCGTTTACTATCTCATCGTATTCCAATAGTATTTTTTTATATTAAATAATAATACATTTACTTTCACAATTTTTAATATACACAATTATAAATGAGGTAAATATTTTATGAATCTAATTTGACAACAAATCAAAAAAAAAAAAAAATATCTGAACAGTTCATTGAAATACTAATACAAATGATGTAGCCGATATGCTTAATATGTGGTATAAGCTTTCCGGTAAAGCTTTGTGATAAGCATATTTATTTAACTTAATCTGAGTTTGCACATTAAATGTAAATATGTTAACTTATTATGTTTTTTTTTTTATAGATTTATGGTATTTGCGGATGCAAATTCTTTTTGTTCCATTACATGGAAACCTATTAAAATTAATATTTTGCCTTGTCCAGTTAGTGGATAGACTTTTTAACGACCTCCAATATTAACAGATATGCCGTTTCTTCTTATCAGCAGCCACAGTTGACATTCAGAAAAAAAAACAAATATTACAAAATTCTTTTTTTTTTTATCTTATCTAAACAAGTTCAGTTTTAAGGCTTAGTAAGCAATCAGTGTTGATACCCCAAACATTTTTTTACACATTTATTTATGAGCTTCTGTGCCGTGGAATTTGTTTATATTTGTTGTAAAAAACTGCACAACTGCTGAAAACTTTATATAATATAAATATAAATAAATATGTATATGTAAATACTTGCATGCTCAGGCGCACACTGCGAGTCCATGTGCTGACTTGAAAACACCCTTGACACACCTGAGCTCTCAAAACACACCTCAAACATGCATTAAACCGAAGCACATTGGTTCGCAAGCAAATATATACATACATACATATGTACATAAAAAATAATAAAAATAAAATAAAAACTCTATAAGAAATATTTATAAAATTATATAAAATAAAATATAGAATATAAAATATAAATTAATGTAATAATATATAAACATGTAAAAATAAATGAATAAAAATGAAATCTATAAATTGAAATAAGAAGGTAGATAAAATATTTATTTTAATACAAATTATACTTATGTATAATATATGAAAATTCGAAATAAATTGTAGTAAATCTAAGACTAAGAATACATTTCTTTATACAAAATTTATTGAACTTGCTTGCTCCTCAGCACCACTGTGCAAAACTTGTTAAGCATTACGTTTTAAATACTACATTATTTGTTCAATGTTTATTAAAGAATATAACTTTGCAAATGCTCTGCTACTTATTTATTTGTTTTACTTTTTACTACTTACGCGTTTGTTTCACGGTGCAGCAGTTGGTTTTAACGTTAATTGCCAGGCCGTTTAGGCCCTTTGGGTCGGCTCACCTCGTGACAAGGGAATCCGGGAGCCGTTGCATGCATTATTGACATGACATCGGGCGAATCGGTAGATAACAAAGCCACGAATTACCATGGTGAATGGTGAATGAAACCAGCCCCCAATATAGTCAACATAAACATGTATGTATATATACATACATATACACATATTCGACTATTCAACTGACTGGCCCTATATACAAACACTTTGGAATAGTTATTATTGCTTCATATGAGAGACGATGAACTTTATTGGGGGAAGCCTTTGCATTGAAATGGATATTGCGCGCAAGTCGCAGTTGAATGAACCCCAACACTACTTGATCCATTTTAGTTGATTTGATTTGATTTCATTTCATCAATAGTCGAATTGCACTGAACTTTTGAGGCATTATTGGCCATAGTTAAGATCGTGCTATCACTATATAGTGATATATATGTATATATTAATGTTCTATTAGCTATTCACATTTGCGCTGAAATTCTGTGTAAAACTATTAAGGAAAGTAGTTTATGGCATTAACCAAACTGTTTTCTGAATGAGAATTAGTTATTCTAATGATGATGACCAATTGGCTGTTAGGAAATGTTACGATAAGCTAAACTCCTATTGTTATTGGGCCTGATTGAAGTAATTAAGTATTCGTAAACGTTTTCTAACAAAAAACGAGAGTTTTAATGTAGCTGGATTTTCTTCGATATTCTTAATTTATATTGATGACGCAATATTTAACAAAATCTGCAAATTTATTTTGTATACGCATTGAAATAGTATAATTAATAGCGTTCTTACACACCTAAAATCTATATTTAAGCGACAGAGAAAGTATAATTAGGAGAGCCCCACCTTAACATTTTATTTTGTTTTCCTTTCGCTTGACCTATTTTTATGCCTAGAACTTCTTAACCTTGAACTTAGGGGACGCTTATAAAACTTGCATCTAATTATGGCCTAGTTCAGGCACATTTCCATCGTGGCGTAATGACACTATAAACGTTAATCAGAAAATTTCTTGACTAAAAGCAAGTACTAGGAAAACTATTGAAGTTTACTTTCATTGTAGTTATTGTTCACTTTCTTTGGAATTGTTAACCGCATCTGACCTTAAAGCGCGAGAAAAATACTTAGATAAAATCAGATGTAATTTAAGAAATTATTGTCAATTCTATTGCTAATTTATGTTTATTATTTACGCCTTCTTACAGGTCGCGCTCATTGCAATAATTGCAAAATGGAAACGTGAAGCGAAAACAAAATACGCAAATCACTAAAACTATTGCAACAACAACAACAACAATAAAGAGCGTAAAATGGGCACATAAATGCACAAAGCCACAACAATAACAATAACAGTAACAGCAAGAGGCAAGCGTTTTCAAAGAAGAGGAAGCAGCAACACCAGCAGGAGAACAACCACCAAAATTGCAGCAACAATTGTCAAGAGTCGATTTCAATAGTGAGTGCAAGCGAGTCGCCAATATGCGTCTAGACAGAGGCTCTCTGTCAAGCCACAGGGCCAGAGGCGGCTATGCGATGTCGCTTGCGCTGCTGCAGCTGTTACAGTTGACGCTTTGGGCTGCGACGGCGACGCCCGTGCAGTCACGTTTTCTTGTAAAAAGAGAAACCTCCCAGGTGGGGGATATGGGCGTGAATGCCCATACGGCTGACCCTGACATTGTTAAGCGAAACAGTGAAAGTGCGAGCGGATCGGAAACGTCAACAGCAGCAACAACAATTCTCAGCAAAAGCATGGTCGCTGAGTTAGCAGCGCAATTGCAGCTGAGTACAACAACAACAACAACAACAACAGAAGTGCCCAAGCAGATAACACTGTTAACTAATGAGCTGGGCCCGCTGCCTGGAAACAGCAGCTCAACAGGGAGCCTGGCTGTTAATCAGCAATCTGTAACTAACGGGAATTACAGCAGTGTTCTGTTAAACTTAGCAGAGAAAGATAATGCTGAGTCTGTTAAGCTGTCGGAGCAGCAGCCAGTTAACAGTGGAATGCAGCAACAGAGCGCAATAAATATTACAACAGAGAGCGCAGCAAAGCAACAGTTGAATGCAACAACAGAGACGCCGACTGTGCAAATGCACGATCAGCTCAAACCTCAAGAGCAACAATTGAAAGAATTGTCAACTGTTTCAACAACAACAACAACAACTGCAGCAACCACACAGCGTGGCGAAGATCATGCACGAGCTATGCAATTCGCCAGCAGCACTGAAAGTCTGGTAGCCCTCTTGGCTGTGACACCCATGAAGCTGCGGGCACTGCCCATGAAAACAACAATAACAACCACAACAACGCCGCAGCTGTTGGCTGCGCTGCTGCACGCTGGCGTCACTGTTGCGCCCAGTGCTTCGCATGAAAATGTTATCGAAGAAGAGCAGGTGAAGATGCAACCGCAGCACGAGAAACGTGCGAAGTTCATCAGCGACAATTCGACAAATGCGCAGCAACTGACGCTGCCCAATGCGGCCGAGGTGTGGAGCTTAGCAGCCATGAAAATGGCGCCAACAACAACTACTACTACAACTACAACAACAACATCAACTACTATCGCGCCTACAGAGCTGGGCAATGAAGTCGAGCTGCAGCAGCAAAACCAAACAGAACACTATAAGGAAAAAAATCTGTTAGACTGGCAACAGATAATGTTAATGCAGACGAGTCAAGAGAATCGAACAGAGCTTACGATGAGCACAACGCTTGATGCAACGGAGGCGGCAACGCAGGCGACAACATTAAAACTGGATGCTATGTTAGCCGAGACAGAGATGGCAACAGCAGCTACCAGCGCTGTAACAGGTGTCCCAACGTCGACAGGGGACGATTCCGACGCAACAACAGATCAGCTAATGTCAGCTTTCTATACAAAGCCTGATTTAGCATCAGTAACAGCAATTGTATCTGCCCAGCCAGAGATAAAAACTGCAATAAAATACAATTCCGATATTATTCCAACAGAGGCAGCTACGCAGCCAGCGCAATCAGCATTAACAGAACTAGAAAAGCTTAACTCAAAACCAGTCGAATCTGATGCAATAATAACAGTGAATGCAACTGCTCAGCCATCATTAACAGAACTGGAAAAGCTCGGCTCAAAATTAGTCGAAACAGAGGTAAATCCAACTGCGCAGTCAGCGTTAACAGCACTGGCTAAGCTTACCTCAAAAGTGAATGAGACAATAGATGAAGTGGAGTTAATAGCCAATAAAACGGAAGCGAATCCAACTGTGCAGCCATCATTGACAGAACTGGCAAAACTTATCTCCCAATCCGGCGAAACAGAGGTGAATCCAACTGCACAGACAGCGTTAACTGAACTGGAAAAGTTTACCTCAAAAGTAAATGAGACAATAGATAAAGAGGAGCTAACAGTAAACTCCACAGAGCAGCCAATGTTAACATCTGCACCAACAAAAGAGGAGGCCAAAACACAAACAGCGAACACAGCTGCGCAGTCAACGTCAACCGAGCTGACAAAGCTCGATGATGTTGCTGTGGTAACAGAGCCTGCAATAACAGTGATGACAACAACAACAACGGCAGAGCCAGAGACAGCTGCAACAATGCCGACAACACCTGCTGCGCCGCCAACAGCTGTGCCCGAGCAGCCAGCAACAAGAGCAACAACAACAACAGCAGCAACGACAACAACTGCAGCAACAACAACAGCAGCAACAACAACGACTACTACTACAACGACAACAACTGCTTCCACAGCTTTGCCAAGTGCGTTGAACGACACCCGCAATGCGAGCGAATTGGCAATGAAAGCGACGGCACATACAAATATTGAAAACGGCGATAAAAGCAACAATGTCGACAGCGAGAGCAACAGAGGCGACGACGACGACGACGTCATCAACGTCTCCGCCACCGTCTCAACAGTCTCAACGACCGAGCGACAGCCAATAACAGTTAGTATGCGAACAGCTGGCGAAGCGAGCACAACAACGACGCAAAAGTTAACGCTAACGTCAGCGACGACGCCGACGCCGCGAATTTTACTTGAGGAACAATTAGCAATAACAACAACTTTGGCAACGCCAACGCCAAAGCCAACGGAAATCGTCCAAATTAGCAATGAAGTCAATTTAGAAACAATTACAGTTAAAAATGTGACAAAAGACAATAATAATTTATTAATTGAAAACAGCAGTGAGAGCAGTGAGAGCAAACACAATAACAGTGACAGTGCAGCGCAGTCAATCAATAACAGCGCTGACAAAATTCCAGCACTTGAAATCAATAATAACAGTAGTACTACTACAACAACCACCACGACAACAACAACAACAACAACAAACATACCCCTCTTAACAGATGTAAAGGCTAATAGTAAACTGAATGTGCAGGAGACATTGCTGGAAACCAATAACATTGGCGAAACTGTAGCAACAACAACATCAACAACACCAATACCTACTACTATTCATACTACTGTTAGCTCAGCAGGATCTACAGAGACGGATGCTGTTAACGTACTGGCAACAAAAGTAGCACCTACAACTCCTGCCACCATCGAGCTTTACAATGTGGACAGCGATGATAATGAGGATAAGCGGCAGCAAATTGAACATGAAAGCGTCACTGAGCAACAGTTGCTAAGTAAAACAAAAATGGCGAACGCAACAACAACAACATCAACAACGTCAACAACGACAACAGAAGCAACAGTAAGCACTAAGGCAACTGCTACACATAAGCTGCCAATAACATCAACCACCACAGAGGAGCCTTTTATAAGTTTACTGGATGACAGCACCACAACAACAATAACAACACCCACAACAAGAATCACAACAGCTAAAGAAGAAACAGAAGCAATAACAACATCAGAGCCCATTTACAGCTCTAGCAGCGCCACTAACGTTAGCATTAACAGTCACAATAACAGTATGTTGCCTGATGAATTAACCACCAGCAACCCCATGTTATTACCAACACAATCGCCCACCGATGTGACTCACAACATACAACAGCCGCACGGCAACACTGGCACCGATGTTAACGTGATTATTGCTATCACTGTCAGCGTTATTGGCGTTGTGGCCCTCATCCTCCTTGTTGCCTTCCTCTACTTGATGCGTAAGCGTCAAAAGCAGATGTCCTACAGCCAACGCTGTCGTCCGGTCAGCCTGGACGCCTACTCCCTGGACAACGTTTCTGTGTTGGGTAGCGTGCGGCGCAAGGGTCGCGATTTGCGTGCCTCGAAACGAACTTATGGCAATGCCGCCTTCGATGATCCCTCACTGAGGCATAATTTGCTCAGTGCTACTGAACTGGGCAAGTTTCTGGAGAGGCGTTCGAGTATATTTGAGGAGTTCCGGGATGTGCCGCAGATTATTGCGCGGGCCGATGAGGTGCCAGCGGGATGTGAGGATAAGAATCGGTACGTTAAAAAGAAAATGGACGGAATTGGATAAGGGTTATGATAGGGGAATGCTTGAAAAGTGAAGAATATGGAAAAAGCGAAAAGAACGCGAACAAAATAACTAGAATCCAGAATTTCGATTTTTGATTTGATTAAGAGAATGAATTCATTCGAAGACGAAGAATATGATGAGTAAGGAAGCGAATAGAAAGTGGGAGGTATAAGTACAATGAATTGAATGTAGACTCAGAGAATAAACTTGTTTCTTTGTAACAGACGGGAATGAATAAATGCCTATGCAATTAATTCAATTAAAGAGAATAGAATAAAAACTTAAAGCAAAAAGTAAATTATTTTAGTTAGCTGCGAGTGTTTTAAGCAGCTCTCAAAAATATCTCACAAAGTACACTAAAAATTATCTCATTTCTTATCTTATCAAATGCGTTTACATTAACAAAAACATGAATGTTTGCAAGTTCAAGTTGCCTTTTAGGAAAGTTATCTATAGAAAATATAAATACTCTCATAAAATATCTCATGTGAAGGTTGAGGATTACTAACTATAAATTATATAACTCTGTATTTATTATTAATTTACATTTTCCATGTAAAAATATATATATGATTATGTACTATATATATATTTATATAATATATGTGTGTACTCTCTTTTTTTAACTCAATGAATATACAAAATATTGGAATGGATCATTGACTTGTTACTCACGCTGAAACGCCGTAACCTCAAACTTGGAACCGCAGCTACGCTAACGTAATTCCGCTTCCTGAGACTCGGGTGGTGCTCCAGCGTCAGGGTGATGATGACAAAACGGAATACATTAATGCCAATTATGTGCGGGTAAGTCAGACGAATGGATCTCCTAAGTAAGCAATAAATAAGCTTTGAAAATCAATTAGAAATCCGAATAGAGGATACCCTGTACGAAGCGCCAATCTTATCTAATCTTATCAAAATTGCTTGGGGTTTCTATTTTAATTATTTGGAATAATCGAAAATAGAGATATTCTGTCTAGCAATATGTCAATATAATTAAATATAAGGACTATAAAAGAGGTGTATTACTTTTTGAGCTTTACACATTCAACGGCCTATTTAAAGAAGTTCGTATGCGTAATATATGATTAACAACGTTTGCAAATATATACAATAATGTATGTCCAAAAATAAATATACCCTTGCTCAGTCAATACAACGATCACAGGGTATGTAAAACAATCAAGAGCTGCCCCCCACAGCCGCAGCAACAACTTTCTCACATGTGTGTGGGCGGTGACTGTGTGTGTGCGCGTGTATTTATGTGCTTATATGCATGTGTATGTGTGTGTGCCTCAATCTTACAACGGTACTGAACAGAGCTGCCATCGCGTCTAGCCTTGCATGACGTGTGCTTGTGTAGGGGAGAGTCTTATAAGGGGGGCATAATTATACGGCCCATGAGATTAGCGAAGTGCCAAGAAAACTGTTTCAGCCTCTTTGTTGCATGGCCTGTTGTAAGCAAATGAGTTCAGTGCCAAAAAAAAAAAAAAATAAAAAAATAATAATAATAGCAAAAATATGGAAAATAGCATCATGCATAATCATAATAGGAGGGAAAGTTTGACGAGTGCACAACGAAGTGTAAATATCCTACTAAGCAGTTAGTTAATAGGTCTATAAATGATTCGATTAGATTGAAGTCAGAGCTAGTTACATTATTCAACCGCCTAAAGCTCCTCAATTTACTCTTTGCCTTTTGCATAGGCACAGAATCATCTAAGCTTTCTGATTTTGAATTATTTTATATATTTTTAAGCTCTTTGCAACATCGATATTATGAATTTTGCTGCCGTTAAGTTATCAATTGTCAATTTATTGATCGTAATTAACGAGGCGTGATTTAAGCTATCATACTGTTTACGATAACAGTCGATAGCAAAAACAAAATAATAATAACAAATCTAACAGTGAGTCACATTTTCAATCAAATTTGTTATATTTTCACTGCCTAAGTAAATGCCTAAGCTGCCATGCTGCATTGAATGTTTAGGGTATTCCCGAGATCAATTAAAAAAAATCAAACAAGCAAATGCGCTGCGGCATTGACGCGTGACGTGAGCGGCGCGCTGCGCTGCGTGTTCAGGCGTTGCCCAAGTGCATTCAGCCAAAAAGGCTGCATGCGAGAAGAGAGACAAAGTTCGAGAGAGAGGGAAAGATAATTAGTTATATTAGTTGATGTATTTGTATGTATTGATATTGATGCTAAGCCTTAAAAGCGTGGCAATAAACCCAATACGCTGTGATTTGAGTTTGCATACATGCATATTCACATGTATGGATGCATACACACATGCATGCATGTGTGTTTTGTGTATAGAATAGCAAAAGTAAAGCAACTTATCAAAAGAGCGCGCGCGCAGCTCAATGGCAGCCATTAAATGACGCATGCACACGAACAAACAAAAGAGAGCGTAATTAAAAGACCGTAATGAAGTGCACGCACACATAAGCAGAGAGCAGAGTAGAGTGGGAGCGCAAGCTTTAACTGTTATGTCATCGACAGTAAATGTTCGCTCGTCTGTTAAGTTATGCATTAAGTGATGTAGTTAATCTTTCAAATCTATTAACATAATGTTAACCATTCACTTTCTCTGTTACACTTGCAGGGACCCCGCGATGCGCCCAACTACTATATTGCCTGCCAAGCGCCCCTGGGGAGCACTACGGGCGACTTTTGGCGCATGATCTGGGAGCAGCAGTCCCGTGTCATTATCCAGGCAACCGATCTCACCGAGAACGGCATTGAGCGCTGTGCCGAGTATTTACCGCCATCAGTTACGCTGGATAATCACAGCAGTTATGGAGACTTCCAGGTTACATTGAAGCATCGCGAAGTCAAGGACAAGTATGCGATCTCAACTCTAATGCTAAAGCGTGTGGATGGCGCCGAGTGCCGCGAGCTGACCCACTATTGGTACAAGTGGCCCGAGACGGGCGTACCCCAAGATGAGGCGCCCCTCATCGCGATGCTGCTCGAGGCACGCTCCTCCCTCAAATCGTATGCTTTGGAGCAGGCCAATGAACTGAAGCATGAGAAATCCTCCACGCTTACGCTAAAATCGCTGGAGGGCCAACAGGCGAAGGCAGAGGAAGCCAATGTAACGGCTGCTCAGGAGGAAGCGTCCAGCACATCGAGCAACGAGATTAATGGCAATGTGGCCAACAGGACTCCGCGCAGTCAGCAGGGGTGAGTAGAAAGAGACAAGAGCAAAACAAAAACCATTTGTCAATTATGTGACTCTTGTTTGTTTATGTCTTATTGATTGACGTTAATTGTTGCTGTCCATTGTAAATTGTATCTGTTTTTCATTCGTTGTGTGTGTTTCTCATTCTTTGTTTTAGACCGCTAACCGTTCACTGCTCCCCAGGTACGGGCCGTACCGGCACGATAATTGCCTGTGACATGGCTATACGGAGTCTGGAGACCCCGAAGCGTTCGGTCGATGTGCCCCAGTTGGTGTACTATGTGCGTCGGGGTCGAGCTAGCGCTGTGCAGACCAAGGAGCAATACGAATTTATCTATAAGGTGGCCAATATGTATGCGACCAAAATCACAAATCTGTCAAATGATAATTGAGAGACTGTTCTGTATAGAGAGACAGCTGAAACCATTGGAACAAGTCCTTATACATAGAAATGCTGTATGCATATTATAGTCATAGTTAATATATATCTTATAAATATTTACAACCATCTACATATACGTGTGTATGTATATATTTAAATAGTAACTTTATGTATTAGTATATTATGTACCTAGGTATTATCTATGATATATATAAACCTGCATGTGTTGGAAAAAATTTCATTTGATTATTGTATGTATTCCTTTATTATTGTGATATATTCGTATATTTGTAAATCTCTTGTATAATCTGTTGCATATTTATAATTAAAGCTTTGTTTATTATAATATTTTTTTAAATATGTGTTATTTTAAATTAAATCATTACAAGAACTTATTATAATTTGGCGCAATTGTGTATTTTGGAAAAGCTTTAATATTAATGAAATGTTTAATAAATATTTGAACATATGTTGTGCGTAAACTACAAGGTTTCAGTTCAATTCAAATGTTGGCGGGTCAACGCGTTGCTTACTGCACAATCGCCCGATAGCCAGCTTTATAGCGATAGCTATCGATATACAATAACTAGTTTGCTAGGCTTTAACAAAACTAAAAGTCGTGTCGAAATGAAGTTGCAGAGTTTATTATTAATATGCGCGCTTTTTGGCGCCGCCGTTGCTAGCGAAACCCCCAAAGTGAAAATCGGCGTTAAGAAGCGTGTGGAAAACTGCACGCGAAAAGCCAAAGGCGGCGACTTAATTCATGTGCATTACAAGGTAACGATGCATAGGATTTGCCGGACACGTCAGTTTTAGTTGTTTATTTAATCTCATATGAATGGTCAGAGTTAAAGAAAGTCAAATAGTGTTTGTCAATACAATTTTAAATTCTGTGAGCAAACTGTTTCAAATTCAGTTTCCGCGAACTGCGCTACAGTTAACTTTGTTAGGTGCATGCACATATGTTGTACATACATACATACATATCGTGCAATCCATCTACAGTTTGAGAGTCACTCCACCTTGGGTTTTATTTTGAGAGATTAGAAGAGCTTTTAAGCATCTAATATGATTGACATATTTATTAATAGATTATATTTGGCTCCGCAGGGAACTCTACAAGATGGTACCGAATTCGATAGTAGCTACAATCGTGGTAAGCCCTTCTCATTCACTCTGGGCGCTCGGCAAGTGATCAAGGGCTGGGATCAGGGTCTCTTGGGCATGTGCGAGGGCGAACGCCGCACTCTGACCATACCGCCCGAGCTGGGCTACGGCGCCAGTGGTGCAGGCGGTGGCAAAATACCGCCCAACTCAGTGCTAATATTCGATGTGGAGATGATGAAGATCGACGCAAAGAATAACGGGGATGAGCTGTAAAACAAAATAAGTAATATTTCCAAATGTACAACAGTGTGTTAATAAAAACAAAATATATATTTAAAGCAAATTCTTGTAAGCAAACTAAGCGGTTGCTGTGTGGCTGTTGTTGGCGTTGGGGCGCTCCTCCACCTCGTCAAAGTGACGTCGCATCATGCGATGCTTCTCCAAGGCGGTTCCCTGTATGAAACGCTCGCCACAGGTGCCACATATGAAGGGGCACTCCCCCGTGTGCTGCTGCAGATGGAGTTTCAGATCTTTCGCCTGGCGATAGCTCTTGTCGCAGTAGGTGCACTTGTGTGGCTTCAAACCGCTGTGCGTCAGCATGTGTCGCTTCAGCTTGTCAGACCGGGCGAAATCCTTGCCACAGACCGTGCAATGGAAGGGCTTCTCGCCCGTGTGCATTCGCCGATGAGACATCATCTCCGAGTGCCGCGGGAAGGCCATTTCGCATAGATCACATTTGAACGGCTTTTCGCCCGTATGCCGACGCATGTGGGTGACCAGTGTTGCCGCTGACTGGGTTTCCCGACCGCAGAGCGAGCAGAGGAACTTCTTGATGGCCTCCTTACGCTTCCGATCTCCATTGATGTGCACATCGCGAATGTGATTGTTGAGGCGCGCCTTCATCTGGTACGTGCGATCGCAGTGCGGACACTGCAGCAGCTGCACATCTTCGGCCGCAATAGCGGAATTAGCCGCCACAGCTGACAGCTGATCTGCGCTGGCTGCATCGCTGATGGCGGCCGTAGGAGTCGACTGTGGATCAATGCTGCCATGCTGCAGCACCATGTGCTGCTGCAGATTCTCGGGCCACATGAATTTGTAGCTGCATTTACTGCACGCCAGCTTCTTCTCGGCGCTTTGACACTGCGATCGCTTGTGCTGATCCATGATGCTCTGGGATGGAGGGAAATAAACAGCTCAGAATCTCATTTTGACAGTAGGTAAACTCATATGTCTCACCTTGCATACACACTTGAATATGCAGAACTCGCATTCGTGCGGCATTTTGTCGAACCGATGCATCGCTCGCTGATGCTGGATCATCTCGTATTTGCGCCTGCACTGCACTTTGCACAGCTCGCAGACGTAGACGGGTCGCGTGCTGGGCGAGCCCCTCGCCTGCTGCATTTGCAGCTCATCCTCCGTTTCAGAATCGCCCAGTTGCATTTCGTACCCGGATTCGTTTGTAATCGAGTAGTTTTGCAACGAGTCGTAGTTCTGGTGCAGCGACAAGGCCAGCTTAAGCTCCAGCTGGATATGCGCTCGCAGGTCACAGATGCGTTCGAAGTGAAGGTTACAAATCTTGCAGGTGATGCGCTTAACACCGTTTGGTTTCGCGGTGGCTGCAATTAGCGTCTCGGCTAGCGGTATATCCTGCTCCCGTATACCATGACGCTTCAGATGCTTCACCAAATAGTCACGTCGATAGAACTTGCGTGTACACCATTGGCACGGTATGAGTTTCGATTCCTCCGCATGCACGCTGAGCATGTGAACGGTGAGGGATTTCTTCTTGTCGAACACACGCTTGCAATCGTTGCACTCATAGGTTTGATTCTGGGAAAAAAATCAGTATGGCTTGCTTATATATGGTATACAGATCAATATAAAACCTTGCAGAAATAGCAAATCGATTGACCTATTTCGTCAACTATACTGGATTAATCTACACATACTACATATATCTCATATCTGCTATATCTGCACGCATAATTTAAATCTTATTAATCTTACAATAATGCGGTGTTCCCGTATATGCGCCTTTAGGTTGTGGCGCCAGCGGAAGCGCAGCGGACATCTGTGGCAGAGGAAACGTTTCTGAGCATTTTTGCACTGCAGCTCGTTGTGTTGTCGCAGCAGCTGCAGACTAACAAAGCGCGCATCACAGCGTCCGCAGACATGCGGCGCATCCAGCCAGGCGTGCGCCAGACGTTGATGATCAAAGAGCTGGTATTTGCGCTGGTAGCGTTCGTTGCACAGTTCACAGGTGTACTTGGCCTTGGGTATGTTGCGCTTTAGCTGCTGCTCATCGGCATCCCGTTCTGCATCGCTTTCTGTCTCGGAGCTGTCCAGGTCCATTTCATAGCCCGACTGATTGGTAATGGAATAGAAACGTTGGTAAATGCCGGCATCCAGATCTTTGCGTATGAGCGCTTTTAGCTGCTCCACGCTGATATGCTTGGCATCCGGATAGAAGAGCTCGGCCAGCTCATGCGGCTGCATATTGGAACGTGCACCGAATCCAACGATATCCGGATGCTGTTCGAGATGACGTCGCAGATCCGCTATCTTATCGTATTGACTCTGGCAAATCATACACTCGATTAGCTTATAGCCATGTGGCTTGCACATGTTTAAATCTATATCCTTGGCCTTTTTGCTTTCGCCCAGATTCGCCGACCGCTTTGAATCCCGATGCACCTTCAGGTGCGACTGCAGAGCCTCTCGATGACTGAACTTGCGTATGCAATAAGAACAGGAAAACCAATCGTTCTTTGACTTATGCGCCCGTGTTGCATGCTGCTTCAGATATTCCGGTCGTTTGAAAATCTTTGGGCATTCAGTACATTTGAAATTGGAACGCTTTACAGCGCGAATCGTTCCGGTCTGTTTCCACTTGCGTGCGCGCTGTTGCAAGGGCAAATCATCAAGGGATCTGTAAATAAAAGAGCATTTATTAATAAAATAATAAAAATATAAGTAAGATATATATACTCTTCGTCGTCAATATCAGCCTTATATTCTTGTGGCTCTTGTAAATTTGGTGTGCGGCCGGCGGTTGGCTCCATCTCCTGTTTCACTGGCTCAAGCATGTTGAGAGGGTCATTGGACTTTTTGTTATCCAACTCTAAGTCCACATCGTTGGCATTTTGTACTGTTGTGAACTCCGGCAGTTCCGTGCAGGTGATATCGTTGTCAGCCTCCTCCTCCTCTGTTTCCATTTTGATCTGCATTTATATACATAAATATGTGAATACACATTTTTAGTTGCGACTTGACGATGATAAACCTCCACATGTTGCTCGGCACACAACTCCATGGGCGCCTCTTGCAAGCAGTCGTTGACTGTAGTTTTATTGCTCTCCAGGCGGTCCACATGATTCATCAGGAGCTCATTTGCTGCCAGCGCCTGCTTCACATAATAATAGGCGCCTATTAGCTTTCTCGCACAATTACCACACAGACATTGTGGCAGCTGTTGCGCCAAAGTTTCATCCAACTGCAATACATACAATTTTTTATTAGAAACAATATATGTATATTTATGTGAATGCTTACTTCAATGTGTGTTAGTTCAGCTAAAATATCGGAGAGCTGTTTATCCGGAAATCGTTTAGTGGATGTAGCCAGCTTGTATAATTTATCCGTGTCTCTTGCATCGCATGTGCGACACATAACGGGTAGCTTCATTATGTTGAAGTTTTAATAATTCCTAACACATTTACAAACCAAAACATAACACAACAAAAATTTGCATGTCCTGTTCATTTACTAAATACAGAGCAGTGCAACTGTGATGACACAGTCTGGCACGAAATACGGACGATTGCAAATCGATAAGTCACGTGATATCGTATTACATATCGGTAGCAGCAAGACGAGTGATTTTTGTATGTCATTCATTTGACATATTAGGTTTTAGATTGAAGGGACTTTGCAAAAATTATTTCTTCAATATATTGAAAAGCTAAAAGTAAGTGACCCATTTTGCCAATTATTCAAGTCAAGTTTATTTATTCTTATTAGGTAGCGTGAGTGTGCTTTATTGCTTCATCATTACCTATCTAGACTTAGAATATTGCAAATAAAAAACTCCTTCGCGCGCTTTAGTATTGTTTTCTGTATATATTAAAAAAAAGCAGATTTTATTTAGCCGTGCTTTAACTGTTCTTATAAATAAAGTGGAGTGTTGTCTTATGAAAATGAAAATAAAGAATATCCTACAAATCAGATACCACGCGAACCGCACGTCCTGCACCTCTAGTATTTCTTAATGGTTTTCCTAATTAAGGCTAAACGTTGTTTGTGCGCTTCAGTGACCGCAGCACGTTTGTACGGACGCAGCTCATCCGTGCCGAAGCCCGGTATCCACATATTATATTTTCGCTCAAAATGCAGTTGTACATCGCGCACCTCGATCTTATTTGATTTGCGATGTTTGGCAAAGGCGCTCGTAGATTTCACAGTATCTTCGACAAAGTCATCGATAATCTGCAGCAACAGTTCCTCAACATCCTCATCCAGTTGCGTGGTGGTGTCCACTTCGCGGACCAGTTCTGTGAGTCGCGGCTTAGTTAACATCTACAATAGAGGAATTATATGTATATATATATATATATATATATTTATATATTTTAACAAAAGCTGGGTTTGTGCTTACAGGTGTATTCTCTGCGCCAGTTGCTGCACTGTGGCTTGTGCCCTTATTACCACTAGTCCCTGCACCAGCGCCACTACCACTGCTACCACCACTACCACCACCACTAACACCAGCAGCAGCGGCTGTTTGAGCCGCTGTTGCGCCACCGTTCTGTGTGGATGAAGAATTACTGTTGTTGTTTGTCATGGGGCTGTGCTGTGAGGGCGATGCCATTGGTGTGTCGTGTTGCCCGCTGTTGCTATCGAGAGTGGTAAAAAGATCCGACATTGCGTTTTCGATAGTTTGTTTTTTTATTAGATACAAATTTTTGCTCTTTATTAATTACTCTACTTAGGCAATGGGATTTAGAATTTGGAAAAAGATGAAACCAAAGCGTTGCAGTTGTGTATCGTTGTTGTTGATTGTTGTGTACTGTAATTAGTGTGTAATAGTGCTTGATTTGTGTGAGAGATAGTTTTAATTGCAAAGTAAAGGTATGCAAAAACAGAGTATAATTTGTGTAATGCCAACCATTTCACATTTACTTTCATTAATTATACGTTTATGTGCTTGCGCCTACATAGCCATTAAATACATTAACAATAAAACACTTACAATTCGACTAATTTATTTGATTTTTAATAATTAAACTTTAAATTTAGTAAGAACAACAAAACAACAAGTACATCTGGCTTGTATGGTGCTGTAAAACAACCAAACATTGCTAAATCTGTATTAGTGTTGGTAGGTTCTGTCTGATAACTATCCGATACTTGGCTGCCATACATCGATTATAAGATACATAATATCACAAAATAACGTCAAATTACTTGATTGCTCTGGTTAGCACAGTATTTTTCTATACCATTTTGATTAATGTAATAGGAATATTTATTATAATTATAATTTGTTGACATAAAGTTGACGCTTCTTAGTAATCGATAACTCATGCAAGCTAGACTTATCGAATATTGTGAAATCGAAACGAAGTTCATTGTCTTGAGTTCAAAGAAGTTTAAATTAAGCATCATATAATAAAACGTATAAAAAATATAATACTTTAAATTCAGTCAAAGGCGAACAAACAAGACAGTCAAAATGTCAACGGAGGCGGCAACACTCATTCCAGATATCAAGGACACAAGTGAGAATGCAGAAATCGAAGACGTCAATAATGACGATTATGTGGACATGACTTTTACGAAGGAAGTACGCCAAGCGACAAAGGATGTGCACAAGTTAACGGATGTCCTGGTCAATGCTAAATTTGCCATTGGTAAATGATCGCGAAGATATAAAAATATCAGTTTTTTATTCAATCATATTTCTGCAGCTCTATCTGATGATGAAGTCTGGTACGATGGCCTTTTGGTCTTCTACGAATTATATAAATTTTTTGAGACGCATTTGCCTGAAAGTCTGCTACCCAAAGAGTTGCATCGTGTCGCTGCGTTTGAGCGTGACTTTGCTTATTTCTATGGCGCCGACTGGAAGAAATCCTATGAGCCGCGTCCAGCTGTCAAGGAATATTTGGCGCACCTGGAAAAGGTGGCGGCCAAAAGCCAGGTGCTACTCTTTGCCTTTGCTTTTCAAATGTACATGGCTCTGATGTCTGGCGGGCAGCTGTTGCAAAAGAAACGCATGATCGCACGAAAGCTCTGGATTTTTCCCAAAGACAATGCTGAACAAGAGGAGCAGCAAAGGCAAGCCGAAGCGGATGCTGCCGCAGCAACAGCCAAAGCAGCAGCCACTGCTGCAGACGATGGCATTACTGAAAACGATCTGCGTGCACGTCCGATGCCGGTGCAGGTAACCATTTCTCAAGTCGGTTGCGAGGCGACATATTTTCCTGTCCGCATAGCCACACTGAAAATCAAGCTGCGTCGCATTTTTAACGAAGTCTATGGTAAACTGAATGAAGAGGAACGTGCCGAGTTTATTGAGGAGAGTCGCAACGTCTTTCGCATGAATATTAAATTGTTACGCACCGTCAAAGGCGTGAATCGTGCTAATCTGAAGAAATTAGCCATTGCGGTTGTTTTTATAGCCGGTATTTATGTGGCTATTAAATTAGCTGTGAAGTGATATGTCGTTTTAAAATATATATATATTTTTTGTTTCATTTAAACTTAGTACACTTATAGTATATATGCTTGTTCGAAACCAAAGGCAATAAAATTTACAGTTGATTAAACTTATATATCCAAAAGACCGCGCCTGTTTATCCACGGCATCAGGAGTTCAAACTGCTTCTTGTAGGCTTCGCTGCTATATAGCTGATCACATATTGCATCGGTTGCTGAGCCGTCTTTGTCAAGTAGATCGGTATCTAGTTCCTCAATGGGATCCCTCAGACATAGAGATAAGGGGCCAATCACAGTGCCAGCAGCTGAAATAGAAAATTGTTAACAATAGCAATCATATCAATATAGAATTAGGTTGGTCAACTCTTAAGTACTTGCCATGTATGGGATGTTTATGTAAAATTATTTGCAATTCCTTCAAGTTGGGAACAAATCCCGTATATTTGAGTAATTGAACGTTCTCTATTAAATTCTCATGATAATATCTGATTAGATAGTCGAATTGTTCGATTTTCAAATTCAATTCTGGCGAAGTCATTAAGAAAAAGTAAAGATCTTGTGCTGGATTGCCATATTTTGTCGCTTGATGATCTATCAAATAGACCTCTTTCACTCTGCCCTCCTGATCGTGCTGGAACATCACATTGTTTATCCACAAATCTCCATGATTTAACACATTAAACTCCAGTTCATCAACCTTCGCATCTTCTATGCATCTGTCAATATAGACTTTGCAGTAGGCATCCTATTCAACGAAAGTCTATTTTTGAATCCGTATTTATTATTAACATACATTTGCCACTTACCAACTTATGGGCATATTCCTCAACGCCCTTGAAGTTATGTTTCATTCTAACAAAACCCTCTCCGATGGATTCGTAGAGTTTTTGGAAAAATTGCCGTGAGTTTTCGCAAATCTTTCCATCATTGTATTTGGATGGATAGGGTCCATTCAGCTCCTTGTATTTAAGTGAGGCTGCATGCCACTGAGCAATCTTCTTTAGTACAGACTTGGTATGGTCCAAGTCAAGGCCTTGTCTGCGATCCGCCATCTCAAAGTCAATTCTCCGAAGATCCTCCATTAGCAAATAGTTGTGCTTGATTGCCTTGTTGAATCTGTAGCTCCTGGGACTAAGCCGAATCGAGTACCCTGCTTCCGTGTATAGCTGCTCAAAGGCTGGCACGTATTTTCCATATACCTCCAACTCCTTAGGAAAATAGTTGGCGATACTACTATCCGCCTGCACTTTCAGCACAAAATCATAGTTCTTTGTACTTTTGTCTGAGAAGTAGTTGGACTTAATCTTGGCTATTGTGTTCAATTAATGCCAGAGTTACCTTTCAGCTGTACTTCTATATTCACTTTGAGCAGTGTGTCGCCATAATTGTCCCCGGGCTTGGTTGCTGTTGTCGAGGCTCCTCCAACAATCTTTTCGAATTGGGGCTCTTGAGCTACAATTAGCTCAGCAAAATCTTGACTATTTAACCAATCCAGATCCAAATCGCTTTGGGATTTGGTTTGTTCAACCGGGCCGATTGAAGGTGCAGCAGCGACTGGCAGGGCCCTTGGTGGTTCGCTAAAAGAAACATAATTATTCTGATTTAAGCACCGATTATGCAGGGCCTAACTTACTAGATCTCCAATAAACCCCGATTGTCCAGCCATTGCAGAATCTGCTCCATGCAATGCTGGTATCGCTTGTTCGTGTACATTTTTTGCTTGAAGTCTACTGCCGCTTCGGTATCTCCGAGGAAGTTCTCAAACGTGGCCGACTCCGTCGGGTCGAGGAGCACCACAGGCAGCACCATATAACAGGGCATGATGGCCCAGCTGCCATATTTATAGGTCTCTATTTGCAGCTCCACCAACTTGGGCACACGCTCCTTGTAGTCAAGCAGCTTGAGATGCTCAACCAGCTGATCGTGATAGTATTTGATGAAATAGTCAAAGTAAGTTAGCTTGTAACTTATGTCCACTGAGGTCATAATAAAATATAGAAGATCTGTGGCAGGGTGGGCATATCTGGGATTCTGGAAATCCACAAAAAGCATATCCATCAGATTTCCAGACTGATCGAACTTGAAAAGTAAATTGTTGACCCAACAGTCTCCATGGTTGATGACATTAAACTCATCCGGTTTTGCCATTCCCAGAGATATAAAATTATCACGCATTTTCTCAAAATACGTTTTCTGAAAGCAAATGTAAATATGAAAGTTAGATGACTTCCAAATCGTTATAAATGATTTTCTTACCAATTTCTTATGATATTTATAGCCGTCTCTATAGTTCTTTACATTCTCAAGGAAAACCTTCTGCGTAGATGCAAACATAGTGTTCAACATGTCCATGGCCTTTTCAACATCTGCTCCAAACATGCCATACATAATACTATCTGTGTATGGTCCATGAATGCTTTTGTAGGCAGCGCTCGCGGCGTGATATTGAGCAAGTTTTCGGAGCACCAGCTCGGCCTGTTGAACGTTGAGGCCCTTTACGCGACTCACATTCTTATAACCATCCTGACCCAGATCGTACATGAGAACGGTGTTTTTAAGTTTGGGCTCGGTTTTGAGACCTTCATTAAATCTGTAGGCGCGGGGTGCAAGGGTTAGATTTAAACCCTTGGACTTGTAAAGCTCCTCGAATTTCGGTATCAAATCTATGTAGACCTCATTCTCAACATCGAAGAAATTGGCCACTTTCAGCATTTCTTGCATTTGTGCAGTGTCATGTGCTACTTTCATCATAAATGAAACTGGTTTTATCGTCTTATCTGGTTGAGAAGTAAAAGAGAAACTATATATTATAATATCGGTTAACAGAGCATAGTTATGGTATGTTCTAAAATAGAATATACATATGTATGTTAGACTATTTGTATACGTTTTCGTGAATGAATCGGCTATGGAACGCTCGTTAATGTATTAGTGCTGCTTTTGGTAAAATGCCTCTGTAATATACCCCTAAACATCTTTAAAACTTAGAGGTACCTTTATAATTTTATGTATATACAATATATGTAATCTCGTCTAAACAATTAGCATTCAGTTCAGTTGTGTGCAGAGGAGTATACGAGCCCCAACCACTAATAATTTGAACACCATGATTTCGATTAATACATATATTTTGTTTAACTTAGTATTTTTTCTAAATTAAATGTATTAGTCATTGCTGGTATATAATATTGTTCCGTTCGCTTGCTAACTCAATATTGTCTTTATTTTGGTAACCTTAGTCAACTTCATCGATCTACATTCTATAAATGATCTCGATCTTAGAATAGGCTTTGTGTCAGGTATTATTTTGCTAGTAGATATTAAAATTAAGAAATAGTTTGTCAATTTTATTCTCTCACTGAGAGAATGTAATGATCTGTCTGCATTAGCTTATTTCACAACGCTGCTCAATATTGAAAGGATGAAGATCAAAACAGGCCATCGCGTGGGGCTCCCCGCAAGTAATTTGTTAGGGATATTGATATATTTTGCAGGTATTTTTTTTACATATGTATGTATCTCAAAATGTTTGTATGTCAAAAAGTATGGTATTAGGCTGATAGTCATTTATCAGACACTCATATTCAAGGGCACTTGGGTCTAAATCCTAACTTAACAAAAGACAAATTGCGCAGCGGGTAGAATCATATATGTATATATGTAGATATATATTCTTATCTGTAAACTTATAAAAGTGTGTATTTAGCGACAGTTGCCGCAGGTTATTAAAGAAATAAAATTTGATAAGAAAACTACCAAGAATGTTGTAGTTATACGAAATCCGTGTTTTTGAGTGAAATGATTGAAATCTTTGGAAGTGCATTGAAATTGAATCGGATATAGCTAGATGCCGATATTCTAGCTGCTATTCCAATCATTATTGAAATACGCAAATATAACATAATAATAATAATAAACAACAATGTAAATGTACATTACACTTACCTTTCAACTCTGCCTCAATTTTTACTCTCAGCATGAGGGTCGCGTAGTTCTCTCCAGCTCCCATGGCGGCTTCCGCATTAAAGCTGCGAATCTCTGAGAAGTGGGGTACATTTTGGGTGAGTATTTCCACAAATTGCGATTCATTAATCCAATTGGGAACGGGCGTCGCATTGACAGCCACTGGAGGTGCCTTTGGAACTGTTGTGACGTTGGTTTCCGACTGCGTCGCGTTCACTGGCGCGATGCTAGCCTCTGGCTTTTTCTTGCTATTACTGAGACCCATCGCAGTTGTAAAAAAAATATATAAATTAATAACGTTGTACAGCAACTGCGCGATATTTCTACGTCTGTACGCTTGGACAAATAATTTTCGACTGAGCTTTGTTATTATATTTACGTTGATTTTATAACCAAGCTTTACTGATAGCCGCTACAACAACTATTTTATCAGCCTTTACTGGCCATTTGAGTACAAAAAAAAAAAAACAACAAAAATAAAATAAAACAATAACAATATGAATTTGTAACAAGCCCCATCAACGACAATTTAATTATAATTTTATAAATGCTAAAAGCAAATAGATAACATATTGCAACAGTATTATTCAATCTAATAGTGGACTGTTGAAATTAACTAGAATGACTTGTTTGAGGTCTATACAACAATGACTTCTACTATATTTGCGCGCATGTCGTATACGTCATATACTATACATGTGGTATACGTCATATAATGCAGTTTTTGTATCTATGCTGCGAATTTCGTACTTGGACTTGGATTAATGTTAATATGAATATAATATAGAGTAGACGAATACAACAATTGTTATTCTCGTCGTTGGATGCAAAAGATCTGATCTGGATTCAATGATCTTGTTGAATCGTCATTAACTATTGATTCTGAAGTTGTCATTTTTAATAGATGCACATCATTCACTCGATATTTTTGTTTCGATATAAGTATACCAAGTATCTCTAGAACTGTATCGAGTAAAGAAAACGATGGTACGCCAAAAGGACAATAAGATGATTTTGATGCCATAATGCAAATTGTAAAATTCAAAGCACATTTCAAAATGTATTCTACGTGGCAATAAGGCATTTAGGAGCTATTGCTCATTATTTGTGTAATGCTAGTCTTATGCAGCGCTACACAGATACCATTGCTCTACATGAAAGCCATACTGGTGAATACAAAGCTGCAAAATTGAATAGCTATTGTATAATTAAGGTTTATATGTACATATATATATGATGTTGACGGTATATCTACTACAGGGATATCACGTCGACGGTGGGATTACAAGATGAATCTCTTTTAAATACTGTATTGGCTGCGCATCTAACTGGATGCATTTTGTAAACTAAAAAACTAAAAAACAAAACAAAAGGCTGGGAATGCTCTTAGCACAGCCGATTTTAGCTATTACATACAAAAGTGGAAATTAAAATGTATATGCGTTTTCTGAGATGTGTTTGTTTTTATACCCTAAACCCATTTTTAATGGGAAGTCAGGGTATACTGGTTTTGTTTTAAAAGTATGTATGAAAGTATATATTCTTGATCATAGCGACGAGCTCAGCAGTCGATTTAGCCCTGTTCGTCCATCCGTCTATCCGAATGCTCGAGCGCGTCGATCTCAGAAAATATAAGAGCTAGAGATGAAAGTTTTACTTTCTTACTTGTTTTTTTTTTTATAAATTAATCTGATTTCCTATTTCGCATTTTTTTTTCAATTCAAATCTTATAATTTTCTTTATTTACAAAAAAATATCTGTACATTTTGTTTCATATATTTACTTTTATTATTAATAATTAAATAACGAAATGTGTTTAAAGCTCGCTATAACATAAATATTCACAAGCGTTCCCATCAAGTTTTACTCAAGATCTAAGAGGCCTTTGCTATTTAGCCAAGGATATATCGCCTCAGCATGTTTACGAAATCTGTCACTGCAATAGAGCTTATTTTTAAACTCTTTGCTTTCCTCATCTGTGCGCATCATGGTATCAAGGCTCGCATTTTCGGTGGGATCGAGCAGTACCACAGGCATTATGAACGCTGTTGTAGTCACGGCACTCAAGGGATTCTTCAGCAGAATGGTGTGGAGTTCGGTGAGCGTTGGTATGTGTCGGGGATACTTAAGCAGCTCCAGATTTCGCTGCAGCTCGGTGTGATAGTAGCGTATAAAGTAGTCGAATTTCTCAAGCTTTATATCTAGACTAGGTGAGGACAGTAGTAGGTAATACAAATCCAAGGCGGGAGTGCTGAATACTGATCTCTGGAAGTCCACAAAGAGTGTGTCCGTAATCTCGCCCTCTGCATCGTATTTGAACATCACATTGTTTGTCCAGCAATCACCATGATTGAGGCAATTGAATTGGGTTTCATCATATACGCCTGCTTTCATTTCACAATCGAAAATATTGTTAAGTATCTTGGCCTGTGGATGAAAAGGAATTATAAATATTTGAATAGAGTACAAAATATGTATCTTAATATTTAATTAGTATATTCATTTGGTATTTATCCTTTAGCTATAGTATTATTAACTTACCACCTTATCGCCAAAGACTTCGCTGCCCTTAAAGCTTCGCATGGCTTTTACATTTGAATCAATTAAGGCTTTTGACATGTCATTTTCAAATACGGGACGCATGCTTTCTTTGTAGATCGATTTATCCAGGCAGTCAGCATAGCGGCCCTTGGTTACATAGAGCTGTGCAGATGCGGCATGCAGCAGGGCCAATTTGGCCAACACCTGCTCCGTTTCCTTTACACTCAGTCCTTGCAGGCGATTTGCGTTTTTGTATCCCGCTGGACGAAGATTCTGCAAGATAATGTGATCGCAGTCAGGTGCACTCGGCAGGCTATAATTCTTGGGAGCAAAGACAACGGATTGTCCGCACTGCTTGTATAGCTCCTCCAGCTGCGGAATGACTTCGGTGTACATGGATATTTCTTTCTTGAATGTGAGCATTATGTCCAGAATCTCTGCATTTTTCGCTGGTGGAACTTTCACCATGAAAGATTTACACAGTGTGTGACCATGAACTGTTTGATAATCAATATCGACAGAGAGCATTATGGAGGAGTAGTTATCCCCCGCTTCGGTGGCTTTCTTAACACGGAAATCCCGAATATCCTTGAAGTCAGGAAGTTCTGCTTTGAGCAGCTCTAAGAAATGGTCTTTGCTCACCCATGAGGGTATATTTGAGTCTATCTCGACTTTCTCAGTTGAGGGAGTTGTTGACACAGCTGCAGCTTGGAGTGATTGAGGTGGTTCGCTAAAGAAACAAGAATATTGTATACTCAGCTTTGCATTACGGTTATATAGTGTTACTTACTAGATCTCTAATAAGCCCCGATTATCCAGCCATGGTAGAATCTGTTCAATGTACCGTTTGTATCGTTTGTTCGTGTACATTAGCTTCTTGAAGTTTGCACCGGTCTCACTGTCACCGAGGAAGTTCTCAAACGTGGCCGACTCCGTCGGGTCGAGGAGCACCACAGGCAGCACCATATAACAGGGCATGATGGCCCAGCTGCCATATTTATAGGTCTCTATTTGCAGCTCCACCAACTTGGGCACACGCTCCTTGTAGTCAAGCAGCTTGAGATGCTCAACCAGCTGATCGTGATAGTATTTGATGAAATAGTCAAAGTGAGTTAGTTTATAGCTTATGTTCACTGAGGTCATAATGAAGTATAAAAGATCCTGGGAAGGATGGCCGTATCTGGGATTTTGGAAATCCACAAAAAGCATATCATGCACCTTTCCAGACTCATCAAATTTGAAGAGAAAATTGTTGACCCAACAATCCCCATGGTTAATAACATTAAATTCATCAGGCTTAGGCATGCCCATTTCAATAAACGCTTTGTTTATTTTCGAAAAATATGTTTCCTGAAATTTAAAATTACAATGTTTTAGAATATGTATTAATATATGCATTTATGTAATAAATTGATGTACTACATACCAACTTCTCGTGATATTGCTCGCAGTTTTCAAAGTTTTGTAGATTATTTAGGAAAATTTTCTGCGTGGACACAAACATACTCTCCATCAGAGCTAGAGCTATCTGAGGATCTTTACCAAACATGCCATACGTAATACTATCTGTGTATGGTCCATTAATGCTTTTGTAGACAGCGCTCGCGGCGTGATATTGAGCAAGTTTACGGAGCACCAGCTCGGTCTGTTCTATGTTGAGGCCCTCGAGGCGATTGGCGTTCTTATAACCATCCTGACCCAGATCGTACATGAGAACGGTGTTTTTGAGTTTGGGCTCGGTTTTGAGGCCTTCATTGAATCTGTAGGCGCGGGGTGCAAGGGTTAGATTTAAACCCTTCGACTTGTAAAGCTCCTCGAATTTCGGTATTAAATCAATGTAGACCTCATTTTCAACATCGAAGAAATTGGCCATTTGCAACATTTCTTGCATTTGAGCAGTGTCATGTGCTACTTTCATCATAAATGAACTGTGTTTGATGGTATTATCTAATTTAAAAATTATAATCAATATAGTGAATTATATAAATAATAATCATATTGTAATAAATATACAAGAATTGATTTCATTCCGCAAAAAAATTAGTATACGTATAGGGTTTTTCTGCCTCTTTAACGAATCTAACAGCCTTTTCACATATTTATTCAATTATTTGCTATTTATTTTTCCATCTCATGATCCAATAGCCATAGCCATAGCTGAAATTATACATTTCGGCCTCCATAGAGGAACCTAGTATTCATAATCTTATCTAAGAATGTATTGGCGTGTGCAGACCTCCTGCCATTATAGCCAATTTAATTTTAGCATTCAGTCATTTCATTCATACATTGAATCGGATTTGTTAATCACTCATTTCTACGTGTTACTAACCTTTGAGCTCTACATCGATTTTCACTCTTAGCATGAGGGTCGCATAGTTCTCGCCAGCTCCCATAGCGGGCTTTACATTAAATGAGTGAATTTTGGAAAACTGGGGCACAGTTTGAGTGAGAATTTCCACAAATTGTGCTTCGTTAATCCACGCGGGGATGGGCACTGCACTCACAATCACTGGAGCTGCATTTGGCTTTACCTCGACCGGTGTTTTGTTTACATTTGTGTTAGAGTCCTTCACAGGGTCTGGATTGGGTTTGCTGGCGGCAGATTCCACTTCATACTTCTTTTTTGACTTGCTAGAGCTAAGACCCATTGCTGATCTTCAATACAAATATTTAGCGATTTAAAAACGTCTGCACGGTTAGACAAATAACTTTCAACTGAGCATTTGTTATACCATTTACGTCGATATTTATAGCCAGCTTTTACTGATAACTGCTGATAAAATTAATCATTTTGTTGACTGGTGGCATAAAACTAAAATTTATTGTGTCACCATTTCAATAGTTTATGATTATCAAATCTATTGTCAAATATTTAGTCTTTTAATAGCGAATTACAAGTTGGTTTCCCATATATGTATATTATGAATATAACAACATATATCTTATATATGAGAAGTCAAAGCTACAAAGCCACAGGAAACTCAATAAATATTTTCCTACTAAAGCTCACTATACAGATCTATAAAGATCTCATACATATTATAACAACCTGTCCATCTCAATCATTTTATGAAACTGGCAATTAATATAGATCATTTAATATAATGTAATTTCAACCGTATCGAATTGCTTATAAATCGATTGTTGGTAGAATCACAATGACTATGTACAATTTTTATAATAGTAGAACTTGCCCCATAATTTGCTCGGCTATCTAATCGCAATACATGCAATTTTACTACTGATTCTATTTATACAAATAAGTGTGCGAACTACATTTGTGTGTGCGTCAGTGATTGTAGATTAAAATGTAGCTCACTTTTTTGTGTTTCTAAAAGGTCTATGACCGTATGATTTTTTAAATCTTACCATTTATTAGTATTACGATACGAAATATATTTAAAAATAAATTTTGATTAGGATCTGGGTTTATTACTCTAACGACAAATTGAAAATTGTTAATAAATAATTAATAATTAAAGTTCATTTGAATAACCCGAACTCTTGAATCTGTAATCTTAATCTGAAAAGCTTATTTATCGAACTGAATGCTACAAATCCAGCAGACCACGATTATCCAGCCAGGGCATTATTTGTTCTATATTTTCTTTATAGCGCACATTCGTATATAACTGGCTCTTGTATTCCTTCGACTCTTCACTCTGATCTAATAGAACGATGGGTAACACCATCACGGAGGCTGTAATCGCCCATATACCATATTTATAGAGTTGCATATGGAGTTCACTCAAGGTGGGCAACCGATCCTTATATTTCAGTAATTGCAAATGCTCGATCAACTGATCGTGATAATACTTAATGAAATAATCAAAATGCGTTAGCTTGTAATCTATGTGCACCGAGGACATGAGAAAGTTGAGCAAGTCTGTCGAAGGATGGCCATATTTTGGTAGCTGAAAGTCCACAAATTTCATGTCCTTCAGATTGCCATCGTTATCGAATTTAAATAGTAAATTGTTTATCCAACAATCCCCATGATTGATAACATTAAACTCACTGTCATCAAAGACGCTAAGACTTAAAAATTTGCTGCTCATCTTGGCAAAAAGTTTTGACTAAAATACAAAATGATACAATATAAAATTGGACTGAGGTTCGCCTCTACTTACAAACTTATGGTAGTATCTGTCGCCATTTTTAAAGTAGTAGATATTTTCTAAAAACATTTTCTTAAACGGACCCATTATACCCTCTAATATGGATAAAGCTCTGTCCTTGTTCGATGCAAACATAGTCTGCGTAAAGAGCTCCGGATATGGGCCGTAGAGCGATCTACATTGTGCACTAGCTGCATGATACTGGGCCAGTTTGCGTAAGACCAACTTGGTCTGTTCCACATTAAGGCATTCCAGGCGGTTCACATTCCTATAACCATCCTGGCTCAGATCGTGCATGAGCACCGTATTCACCAGTTTCGGTTCCTTTCTCAGGCTCTCCGAGAATTTGAAGGCACGTGGAGCGAAGGTGATGTTCAGACCTATTGACCTATAAAGTTCCTCAAACTTGGCAATTAGTTCCGTGTAGGCAGCGTTCTCAACGGTAAAGAAGTTCACCGTCTTTAGCATCTGTTGCATTTTTGCTGATTCGTGGGGTACTTTCATCATAAAAGCCAATGACTTTGTGGATTTATCTTAAGAGCAAAATAAAAGACAATTCAAATAAAGCAATTTCATGAGTTGTGACTAACCTGTTAGCTTCACGTCTATGGCTATTCGCAGTATCAATGAGGAATAGTTTTCACCCGCACTTGTGGCGGGCGATATATTAAAATTTTGAATTTTGGAAAACTGTGGCACATTGGCACTCAGGATTTCTAAAAATTGTTTCTTGTGGATCCAATCTGGTACTAAATTCGCATCGATAAGTTTTGGCGCCTTTAACTGAGGACTGATCTCTGCATTGGCATTTCGTACCCTTTCCGTAGGGATGGGCTTCTGGAAATTGCTTGGTTTGTTTTTAGTATTCTGTGTTTTATAATTCTGTATTTTCTTCGAACTGCTCTGACCCATGTTGCTACATTGAGCTAAATACAGAAACTTTTACAACTATAGAGGAATAGATAAGAGGAGGCAAACACACATTATTAATGAAGCTGGAATAGATATATTTCCAATGATTGAATTTAATCTATTCCGCTGACAACTCGGCTTGGTAATCACCTACATTATTCAACGCATGATCGTTTATGCGACTCATACAAATGATTTTATGCCCATATTCAAATGGCAAAACGTAAATCTTTTTCAGTATAAATATTCATTAAAGAGTGTAAATTACGAATAAGCTATGCTCATTATCTTCGATTTCACAGTTCTGTGTATCCTATAGACACTTACTGACATAACTTTTTATTTTCTGCACCAGTTGACAGTCATATTAATCTAATTAACATGACTAGGCCGGTATACTCCTCATGTTTCTGTTTTATTCCGTTTATTACTGAAATTTCTATTGTTTACTTTCCATTTTTGAGCCTACTATTTACAAATTTCTAAAATGACAAATGAAAAGTAACTTAAATCATTTTTGATTACAACATTGTTTTATTGAATTTTAGAATAAACTATAACATTTTTTTATTCTTGAATTGTGGAGCTTATTTGTAAACAGTAAATACTTCCATCCTCTTTCTTTTCTTTTCCAATTCCTTGTAGGTCATCGACGTCGCATTGGGTCTATAGCAGGTGTCCTTTGTATTTAATAGAGCAGCTTTTTCCGAAGTCTTTTCAGGCAGTCTCCTATAGTGATCCATTGCAGAATGCGAATTCGATACAAAAAACGCTTTAATCATCCTCATTACTATGAGAATGCTAACTGTTTGATCTTTCAGAAAGTAAATTAATTTATACGAAAATTATTGTCATAGGTCTTGCTAAAATTAGACATCAAAAGCTTTCTCTTTCAACAAGTTACACGGAAATGCCCCTAATCTTATCTTTATCTAATAAAATTTCTCAATTCTGCGAAACGTATTAAATTTTTTTGGTCAAATGATGAAATTGATGATGAAATCAATGGTAGCACTGAGAAAGATTCTTATCGAAAAAGCTCTTCAATAAGCTGCTTCAGCCGGGATTACGTAAGCAATTAAAAACAATTATCAGCTGTAAACCTGTTATACCCTGAAACCATTGTAATTGCAATTTTAGGGTATATTGATTTTGTGCAAACGAATATAACAAATAAAAGGAGGCAGCAGATAAAGCAGATATTCTTGATCAAGACATCGAATGAGGGGTGGATATTTAGTATAAGAAAGGCTTAGAATACTTTTTCAAGAGCGTTTCATCTTGCTGTATCCGAATCAGAAAACAGAATAGAATAAGTCACCAATACCAGAAGTGAAATCTTTCCCTATTATTTCGCGCATTTCTTAAACTCCAACGACAAGTTGATTCATGAATACCAAATTCTTTTGCACTCTGATATTAGTGATTACTACTTTATAAACTGCATGCCTCTATACATATACTCTATATCCATATACAATAGTATGTCGTAAATCAAATATATTATGCATTGTTCGTGGGTTTGTTCTATTTTGGTTAATCCAGATATAGAAAAAATTCTTTGGCGTGTGCCATTCATTGTCAGAAAAATAATACGAAAATACGACTAGAATTTTTTTTTTTTTTTTGTGATAACAAGCGATAGCTTGGTCTTGTGCCACCTTATCAGGTAAACTTGATTACAAAACTGCGTTCTTGAAGTGGGCAGATGGCAACAATTGTTGATAAAGGCTAATCATACTTATTTATTTCGGTTATTCTCTGTTGAATCATAATGACTATAATAATTTGCGACAACTTATCCTTTATCGATACAAATTGATTTTGATGTATATATATTTCGGATTTTCGATACTTCACTCCTTTCGTTACTTGCAAAAAACATAGTTTACATAGTAAGGACTTTGCCTTGCCAATATTAATTTAATTTTTATCTTCTTCTTTGATATATATCTCCCAAATTTGTACATTTATCTAGAATTAGATATCACAGTTGCCTCTAATTTAATTTCCAGTCTTGTACACAAATAGGCCGCGATTGTGTGCCCATGGCAGCAGCTGTTTGTATTCCTGTACCACAGTGCGATGTCCAAACATGGTCGTCCTCAGTTGATCGCCTTCGCTCTCCTGGTCCATCATTGTATCCATGTTCGCCTTTTCGCTGGGATCGATGAGCAGGAGAGGCAGCAGAAGTGATATAACAGGGTAAACTACAATATTTGTTAAAAAAAATATCAATACAAATGAATGAGTATAACAATACGAGTTATTTATCAGATTTTCGCTCACCCCAATCGCCATGATTTAAGATTGCAATGTGCAGTGCCGTCAGTGTTGGCATTGGCTGGGTGTAATCCAAAAGTTTGAGGTATTCAACTAGTTTGCTGTGATAGTAAAAAACGAAGTAGTCAAATTTCGAGAGCTTAAGCTCAAATGAAACCGAAGAGAGCAAAACGTAGATCAAATCCTGTGCGGGGGAGCAATATCGACTCATTTGCAGATCGATAAAGTATGTTTCTGTAATTTCTCCATGTTCGTCATATTGGAACATGATGTTATTGCAATGCAAGTCGCCATGATTGAGGCAACAGAACTCGTCCTCAAACTTGGGCGCACGGGCCTGGAACATATCTGGTGCGTTGGAAGTATAGGTTTGCTATAATGGAGTTACATGGTAATCGTTCGTTAAATACAGGGGTTTCAATTAAAGTTAACTTACCAATTCACTCTCCATATAAGCAGCGTTGTACAGTGGCAGCGCTTTGATCAGAGAGTTTGCTTGCGTCTCACGGAATTCCTTGAACTTGTCCTCCTCACTGCAAAGATTTCGATCGTACATTTCCGGATAGGCGCCTCTCACTTCAAAGCGAACTGCAGATGCTGCATGAAACTGAGCCAATTTATCGAGAGCCGCTCTAGTATGCGCCATATCGAAGCCCATCTGGCGATTCACATTCTTAAAACTTCGATTTCCCAAATCTTCCAAGATGATCAACTCGGCACTGGCGGGATTCGTTGGCTGATAGTATCTGGGACCAAATGATAACTCTTTGTTCTTTTTCATGAACATTTGCTCAAACTCGGGTATATAGCTGCTATAGGTTAGCTTCTCCTTATCAAAGATCTTCCAGCTGGCAATCATATCTCGTGTGCTTGAAGTGGTGGGCAACAATTTACCTATGTATGAAGTTGATGTTTGGCTTCCGTCTTTAAGATGTATATATATGTAGTATTTGGAACTTGATACGTTTCTTTAAAGCTTCTACTGACCATTCAACTCCACGATAATCTTCACACGCACTACCAAACATGTAAAGTTTTCGCCCTCGCCACTTGTTTGCACCACCTCAAAATTTTTGATGGCTTTGTAGTCTTTAAAGTCACGTTGCAGGAATTCTATAAACATATGCTCATCTAACCAACTTGGAAAGGCTAGCAACTTTTGTTCGTCTGCCTTTGCCATGATGGTTCCTATGGAAAATATTGGTCTATACTGAGAGTTTATTTATAGATACTACAAACATTGCGCTCGCTCTGCCGTATGTTTACCAACAATGAATGAGCTTTCAAGTTGATTAGCTTAAAGCTCTACAAAATTACGCCTGATTAATAAATATGCTAAAGCTTTGAGGCCCTCTTGCATTGGAACTTTAGTTGTATTTTTGTAAAGCTCTTGCAGTAACGGTTTTTCCATCAATAAATACAAAAAAGAATGTACAACGTTGACTACAGCTAATACAGATACTCAATAAGTTGTTTTGGCTTTATTAGTTATTATCTAAATTTATTTTGGATCATTGTGAACTTTACTTTTAATAATGCTTACTTATCTCAATACAATCAAAGCCAAATCGTTTTATTCCTATTACGGAATATATTAATCCTTATCCCACAATTTGTAAGCATCTGTTGGGCTCATTTATCATGCCGTCAAATATATATTAGATTTTTTCTCTAATATACTCAGAAAGTCTCGACGTTTTTGCGCAAATTTCGCTGAAAATTGTAACAAAATTCAATTAATTTGTCACATTGATTTGACATGCGCACAATAGTGCCGAGGGAGGATTTGCACGGATTACGCACATCTCAGAAATCGTTCACAAATTCGCAGATTCACTATGGCTAATATTTATTAAGTAAAGCGTGGCAAGAATCTCAGCTCATATAAGCTTATGACAAGAGATAGGAATTTGATGTAAAATTTGTTTAGGCCGAGTTTCTCATACACAGCAGGTGATCAAGTATGTGGGATTTGGAGAGCTTACTCTACATATAACAAGACTCTGGCATAAGTCGCTAATCACAGACACGTGAGCACACTTCATAAAGGCAAAGTCAGCCACAACCCTCATGGCAGGGGTAGGGAGTGGGGTGACCATGCTAATGCGGCATGAAGTGTCACGAATTCATCAAAACATATTGCCAGCTACCGATGCTACCAAAACAAGATCAAATTAGGGTCGCAGCGTATGATACAGTTGAAGTCAAACAACCCTCAGGTGTTTTCAGTTACGTATATCAGATTGTTTAGCCCTTTGTATTTATGCGCTCAAAATTAATTTGCTCTGTGGCGATTCTCAAAAAAGTCACATAGAGGGGAGTAAATCTGTTGAAATGGGCGTTGAACGCAAAAATTCCATGGTATTTAGCTTGCAAAGCATATCTAAAATATAAAATTATATTAGACTAGAAAATACCCTATAAATGAAGTTGACAACTGTGAAGAGAAATCTAAAATATTTATAAAACTTGTATTCGTGAATTTAGTCTATTAAAAAAGTTTTGTTATAGCACTACTACATATACCCAACTGACAGGGTATTATAGCTACGCATAATTTCGCCCCTTGACTCTTACACTTGTTTTTGCCAAACGAGGGTTGTTGCAACAATTACCATTGCATCGCCTCAATTTATTATTAATAATTTTACGCTTTGTTTATGTTGTCCAATTGTTTTTTGTCTAATCGTTTTTGGCTCTCTGTCTGTCTCTGTGACTTCAATGTGACATCAGCATGTGCCACACACACAGCAGCTGCCACAGTTCGCACGCAAATTGGGCTTCAAATAATGTTGTATGTTGCAGTTGGAAGTGTGCCTCTTAGGGGTATTATCAGGTGGTTGTTGTTACTCATTATTTACGCAATCCGTACAAGTTTTCCAAGTAATCAATTTCATTTGCTACTCAACCGCAAAGTATCTGTGATTTACATAATCTGACTGACAATTCGAATTACCCAGCTTGATAGACGGGATTTTCTGTGACAAACTCTAAAGCGTTTTGTTTATTAAAGATTAATCTTAAATACAAATTATAAGCACTTTAAACCCAACAATAAATGAGAAATCTAAAGTATCAGAAAACAAAATAAAAAATAAGCAATATCCTCACCAATACTCAAAATAGGAAAAATGTGCACCTACACATATCAAAAACTCCAAATAGTCCAAATGAAGCTTTTGGAATTAATTAAAAATTCATAATTGGTTAGGTTAGAAATTTATATACAAGTCTTGAACCCAAATTTTAATTGTAAAAACCTTTTACTAAAAAAAAAGCCCTGAACTAGTAAACATAAATATGAAACGTAAGCTTTATATGATTGTTAAAACAATTGTTCAAAAGAAATAATTTTAAATTAATAATTTCTTACCTTACCCGTTCTTATATTTAGGTTAAATGATGTTAATGTTTTTTGAATTAAAAAAAACTGCCATTCAATAGATCCTGCAAATTCAAATTGAAAGTTTCTGTCGATCTAATTTTGACTTGCGATTGATTTCTATTTGTATATATATATATAAAATCTCTGATTAATTATTTTCTTTAATCCACCCAGTCGAGTGGTTTGATGGAAACGCCTGAAACAAAGTATACAACTTGGGTTCCATTTGTCTTTCAATGGAATATTGGCAAACCCTCTTTCACTCACTCAAGTTTATTTAAATTTAATAACTTTTGTAGCAGATTGAATTTATTCGTGGGTTGAAGAATATGCAGGACGAATGAAAAAGGACAGCTGGTTTGCTTTAAAGGTGAATAAATTATTTCGTTCATTAATATATATAAACTTATATCACTATGAATAATAAACTTAATCACAAACACAATCCAAAACTTGCGCATCTATCACATTTATATATATTGTCTTAGGTCTATATACATGGCATGGCAACATGGAACATTATATAATATTATTATACTCCGCTTTAGATTTCATCCTACGTCAAGCTGTGACTGTAAGGCGAGGCAAAGTCACGCTGGTAGGCCGCCGGATGCAAATGATGGGGATGCATTGGCGGACCTGGTGGCACATTCCCTGAATGATGATGTCCATTCATACCGCCGTACATGTCCGAGCGGGTCTTCTGGCTATTGGATGGTGTGCCGCTCAACAACTCCGCCATGAAGCCAATGTAGGTGATGGCCAGGCGCAGGGTCTCAATGCGAGAGAGTCGTTTCTCATAGGCAAAGGTGGGCACCTTCCGTCGCAACTTATCAAAGGCTTCGTTCAGGTTGAACATGCGACGGCGTTCGCGTATATTCGCAGCCCTCCTCTGGGCCATAGAAGCTACGCGGCGTCGTGTTTTCTTCGAGCTGGAGGAGGAGGCGCCGTGGGAGCGGCTATTGGGGGGCGGACGCTGATTGACGAGCGGGGTAACCTGAGATCTTTGCCAGAGTGCTATTTGTGAAGAAATGGAAATAAACAGAAATAAATAAAAATATACTTAAATAACGGGTTGAGCAATTGAGTAACTTACATAAATCGGAGCAGGGGAAACCTGCTATAAGGTCCTGGTAGGGAACTATGGGCGGTGGCGGTGGTGCCTCCTGGCCCCACAGTGGCTGAAAGGGCACCCCTGGCATATAGGTAGGTTGGTCACTCGGATGCTGCATGTAGGTATATATAGAGATTCTGTATTCTGTATCGACTGTAGACCTTGGGTCTCTACTGTTCTGCTTGGAAGCCCGAATTGGATTGAATTCTGATTGTGATGTCTGCTCTGAAATCAGCTCTCCCTAGTTGGACTTATTGGATTTCTGACAACCCTTATGGAGTGCAGCATCTGCGACGCGCAGTTGAGACGGCCATTTTGAATGGGCAACAGTTTGAGGCTTTCTGATTGGCTATCATAGAGTTGGGGTTGAGAACCGTGCTAAGCAACTTTTCAGGATATAAGGAAAAGATATTTTATCTTATTGAAAAGTATAATAGATAGAATAAAATAAAAAAATTTAACAAGATATTTTCATCTAAAAAAGTACCAAAATATTTGTAAAAGCATTAGAAACTGGTGGGTATTCTCGTAAGGCTGATCTCAGATATAAGGCTGTTGTAGAAAGAAAAACAAGAGATTGTGTTTGAATTTCTGTTTTTTGCGTTGATTAATAATATATTTGCAATTTGAGTTTTCATAAATGGTCTCAAAATGTTGATGGTTTATGTATTCGCTTTAATTAATAATGAAACATAGATGGCGCTATATGTAAAAATTCTTGCCTAAACAAATGTTAGTCAATTTTCTTCAACTTTTACGTGATTTTATACGGAGCTGTTTTGATTGAAATACTACAAAAATTTATTAAAACTAATTTACTAATAAGTTTACTAATCATTTTTACTGAAGTACTGGTTTGAATTGGTTACTTGTCTCAAAATTAATTTCTTAAATTGATATTTATTAACAGACAGCCACTGAAGCTTAAAAAGTTTCCACGTCCAAGTAAAGAATATTATAACGTAAGTACAGCTCACTGGGACTAAAACACCGATTTTAATTTAATTATAATCATGAACGGTTTTAAACATTTTTGAACAGGATGAGCTTGAGTGAACCGTTCAATCATATCTTCTTTTTATATTGCTTCAGTCAATCAGTTAGACTTCAAAATTATCCGTTGGCATGTTACGTCTGCCAATTTTAATGGTTCACTCCAAGCGCACCTGTAATACCGTGAAACTGAACTCAACGACCTATCAGATGCCTCACAGTCAAATGAACTCCCCACCTATATTGGTGTTACATGGACTGAACCTCTCGGGATCCAATTGGCGTCGCTCGGCTCGGCACATGATGAAGAAGGGCTCGCGCTGGCTCATAGTTGTGGATGCCCGTAATCATGGCGAGAGTCCGCATTGCGAGAGCCATACGCCCGCCGACATGGCTGCGGATGTGGAGGCCTTGATCGTGGAGAGAATGTTGAATCGGATTGTTGCCTTGGGTCATGGCATGGGCGGGCGGGCGCTGATGACGCTGGCGCTGACCAGGCCCGATCTCGTGGAACGTATCATCGTGGTGGACATAACTCCAGGACCGCTGCCCCCGGAAGTCGTCAATGCAGCCAGGCTCTTCAAATTGATGGTGGATGTGCTGCCGAAAATACCAAAAGATCTTTCCCTGGAGGAGGGTCGCACATTCATAATGCCTGAGCTCAGGAAACTGATTAAAAACGAAACTGATCTGATGATGATTGTTGCGAATTTGCAGAAGAATGACAATGGCTGCTTCGCCTGGACTGTAAACGCGAAGGCCATCTTCGACAGCTGGAGTCAATTAATGATCAGATACAAGCAGTCGTTAAAGGGACTGCCGCCATACCAGGGCGAAACTCTGCTAATTGCGGGACGAAAGTCCAAATTCGTAACGCCAACGAATGTCAAGATAATGAAAAAGTTCTTTCCCAAATTGCATGTCGAGTATTTGAATGCTCATCACAAAGTTCACGTGGATCAGCCCCAGAAGTTTGTCCAGTTAGTTGTTGACTTTACGAAAACCTGCACAGGCTGTAAAATGTTGTAATCACTTTGACACTATAGAGGCCGATGGCTAGTATCAGTTGACCAATTCCTCGGTAGGATTTGGTCTTCGCACAAGATTTTCAACTTCTACGCAGATTTCCATGATATATGATACACCCATAATTGTGTTCAGAGCAATTCAAACAATGTAGAAGAATATAGAAGAGTAAACAAAATATAACGGACGTTAGACTTACGTGGTTATTTTATACCCTGACCGCATTAAAAGGGTATAATGGTTTTGCTGAAATATATGTAAAGGAGGCGTGGTATACCCAACAAAGTATATATATTCCTGATCAGAGCGACGAGCCGAGTCGATCTAGCTCCGTCCGTCTGTCTGCCCGTCCGTCTGTCGCGTCGATCTCAGAAGACATGAGAGCTAGAGACCTGAAATCTTTTTTCTTGAAATTGGCCCATCTTAAATGTTATCGTAATGTCAGTGGCAGATTCACATCGTTCAAATTCAGTTAATTCTTTTCTTATTCTGTGCTTACTTCGAACTCTTGTGATTATGATTCCATGATTCCACATGAACTTAAATACAGAAATTTGTGCAGCTCGAAATATAGAAATGCATTTTAGCATTTATGTTTAAGACAGCGTGAAAACCGGATTTTAATTGATATATTATTTACATTTTTTTTCCACAGATAATTTTAATTGCGATAAATGGCATTAGTCATTGTATTGTTTTTTAAAATAAATAATTACAACCAGATCTGCTTCCAGGACTGCTCTTTACTTTCGCAGTTGACAGCCATGTTTATCTAATTAGCCTCATTTTAGTTTATATTATAGAACCATATTTCTCTCGTGTGTCTGTAGTTTTGCAAACATATAATCATTATCTTACTGAAATTTTTATTGTTTCCGTTTGATTTTGGAGCCTACTATTGCGAAATACATATATTAATCTTTATGGCAGAGTTATTAATCATCTCTTGGCTTCAAATATATATTGTATTATGCTCTAATATACTCAGCAAGTGTTGCATTTGCTCGGATTACGCCAATCTTTGTTCATAGATTTGTAATTTATAAGCTGATTCCTATGGGAAATATTAGTTTAGCAACGCGTGGCAAAAGTATCCTCTCATTTCCTTATGAGAGAAGTGAAAAAATATATTAATTTAATCTCAAATCTGTTTAGTTCGAGTTTCTCATACACAGCAGGTGATCAAGTGTGTGGGATTTGGAGAGCTTACTCTACATATAACAAGACTCTGACATAAGTCGCTAATCACAGACACGTGAGCACACTTCATAAAGGCAAAGTCCGCCTCAACCCTCACGGCAGGGGTAGGGTAGGGGTGACCATGCTAATGCGGCATGAAGTGTCACGAATTCATCAAAACATATTGCCAGCTACCGATGCTACCAAAACAAGATCAAATTAGGGTCGCAGCGTATGATACAGTTGAAGTCAAACAACCCTCAGGTGATTCCAGTTGCGTCTAACAGATTGTTTACCCCTCTGAATTTATGCGCTCAAAATTAATTTGCTCAGTGGCGATAAAGAATAAAACTGTTAGAAATGAAATGTTGAACGCAAAAATTCCATGGCATTTAGGCAGAAAAACATCGATATCTTAATGAAGACACCATGTTAGACTTTAAAATACTTTGTATAGATAGGAATAGGTAGTAGGAAACGGGGAATAGCTGAAATTAAAAAGAAAAAAAAAAAACAAAACATTACCGTTTATTATATATGCAGATAATATTAAAACATGTAAATAATAATAAGAATAATAATAATACAATATATAATATAAAATATATGTTTATATATGTGTATAATAATTTATGGGCGTCAAAAGTAATATAAAAATTTCGTTCTCTTCTGTTTTCTAGCTGAGCCATCACAGGCTATTATGGCTGTGCACAATCTCGCCATTTGGCTCTTGCACTTGTTATTCGCCACACGAGGGTAGTTACAACAGTTCCCATTGTGTTGCAGCCCTCACACATTAATTTATTAACAATAATTTCACGCTCTGTTTATACTGTCCAGTTTTCGTTGTTGGGTCGCTCCGCCTTCCATCTAATGTGACTTCAATGTGGCATCAACAAGTGCAGCTGCAGCCGTTCGCACGCAAATCTGGCCTCAAAAATTTACGTTAGGGGGATTCTCAGGTGGTTGCTGTTCAACCTCAAAGTAACGGCGGTTTTCCAGCCAGGGCAACAGCGTCTTGATTTCTTTTGAATATGTTGGTGACTTGCAGATCTCCGAAGCATCTTCCATATTCCATATTCCAATTCACCCAGTACAATGGGCAGAGTTTCTGTGACTGTCTTAAATACTATTCAAAATGTTATTTTCTTTGTAAAGACAAAGTCGAAAATGTTTTCAATGTTTTCATAGCTTACCCCAGTGTCGTCTATAGCTAAGCATATCCAGTTGTATGTCGGTTAAGGAAGGAAACTTTCCCTTAAAATTCAACAAATTCAAAATTTCCGCTAGTTTCTCTACATAGAATCTTGAAAATCCATCGAATTTTTCAGTTTTGGCTGCTGGCGCAGTTAGCAGCAGTTGCAGCAGATCGTGTACAGCAGGTCCAATATTAGCACTACCAAAATCATTGAAAACCACATCTCGAAGCTGTCCAAACTCATCAAATAAGCCAAGTAAATTGTTCGAGCAACAAGCTCCGTTCAAAATAACAGTGAAGGACTTTTTCGAATCAGGTGCTTTGACGCGACTAGATAAAGTCCTTTGATAGGATTTCTATTAGCGAATACAGATACTGTTATCTAAGGTACTTACTCCACCAAATGATTCCAAAACTTACCACCTTATCTTCAAATTGCCTCAGGCCGTTAGCCCTCAGACTCTCATAAAATTGTTGCTGTATCCAGCTCTTTTTTGCTATTAAGGTTTGATCTGGTTCTTTATATGAAGGAAACTCATTCAATTGGTCTCGATTCGATTGCAAATAACACGCTGAAGCCGCATGATAAGCAGCTACCCTTGATAGGATCACCTCCATTGCCAATTGGTCTAGACCATTTAGTTTGGTGACGAATCAGTAGCCCGTGGCTGGAAGATAATCTAAATACAGACTGCTTTTACTCACGTAGCTCCTAGGTGTGAAATTGATTTTTTTCTGAACATCGTCAAAGAGGCTCTCGAGAGCTGGCAGCACCACCTTGTGCATCTGAGCTTCAAGCTGGAAGGCTGGAAGCTTTGGAACCGATTTACACAGATAGGTCACAAGCCGAGTTGAGTCGTCTATTCGATGGTGTTATCGTAAACGATATCGTAATTTGTATTGGTTATTCAGCAATTAGCTCTGTTCCTGCTCACCTGCTAACCTAATGCCGATTTGCACACGCTGCCCATATGGCACATTACTCAGGCGAACGTTTTCTATTTTCTGAAATGCATTGAATTCCTTCTTTAAAATTTGCTGCAAATGCTGCGGGTCTAAGAGAGACAACCAAGTACTTAGACAAATATTGCAGTCCAAACATGCTCGTTTTACCTTCCATTGAGTACTGCTTCCTGCCTTGTCAATAAACATCAACTTAGCTGTTTAATCGCCTGAAACTTTAACTTATCATTGAGGAGATTATCAATAGATTTCTTAAAATAAATCATTTGTCAGCGGCTAGAACGGAAATAACCACAACTTGTACATCTATCACAAATACACATATATTTAATTTCGAGTCTACACACATGCATGACAACAAAGAAAGATATTCAAATACTCTTTCCACTCAGCACGACAGGCCATGTCTAGCTGTGACTGTAAGGCGTGGCAAGGTCATGATGATAGGCCGCCGGATGCAAATGATGGGAATGCATCGGAGGAATTGGAGGCATAGCTCCTGACTGATGATGTCCGTTCAAACCGCCGTATGTGTCCGAGCGGGTCCTGTGGCCATTAGATGGTGTGCCGTTCAACAACTCCGCCATGAAGCCAATGTAGTTGATGGCCAGGCGCAGGGTCTCAATGCGAGAGAGTCGTTTCTCATAGGCAAAGGTGGGCACCTTTGGTCGTAACTTATCAAAGGCTTCATTTAGGTTGAGCATGCGACGGCGTTCGCGTATATTCGCAGCCCGTCTCTGACTCGTGGAAGCCACGCGGCGTCGTGTTTTCTTCGAACTGGAGGAGGAGGCACCGTGGGAGCGGCCGTTAGGGGTCGGACGCTGATTGACGAGCGGCGTAACCTGAGATCTTTGCCAGACTGCTGTTTGTGAAGAAATGGTAAAACAGAAATAAATATAAATATACTTAAATTACGGATTGAGCAATTGAGTAACTTACATAAATCGGAGCAGGGGAAACCTGCTATAAGGTCCTGGTAGGGAACTATGGGCGGTGGCGGTGGTGCCTCCTGGCCCCACAGTGGCTGAAAGGGCACCCCTGGCATATAGGTAGGTTGGTCACTCGGATGCTGCATGTAGGTATATATAGAGATTCTGTATTCTGTATCGACTGTAGACCTTGGGTCTCTACTGTTCTGCTTGGAAGCCCGAATTGGATTGAATTCTGATTGTGATGTCTGCTCTGAAATCAGCTCTCCCTAGTTGGACTTATTGGATTTCTGACAACCCTTATGGAGTGCAGCATCTGTGACGCGCAGTTGAGTCGGCCATTTTGAGGCGTTCTGATTGGCCATCATTGAATTGGGGTTGAAATCGTAGCATGCTGAAGTCAATGGAAAATATATGATATGTAGGTAGGTTATTAATGAATATAACTGAATATTTCCATCGGAAAGTATTTTAATATTTGTTAAAAAATTATATAATATTGCTGAAACTCACAAATATTAGGAAAGGTTAGTACTATTTTTTTAATGTGATCCAGATTTCATTATTTGGAGTATGCATTCGCTTGAATATAAATGAGACATAGGTGGCGTTTTTTTAGTACTAGGAAAAATTTCCCTCTGAAGAGCGTTATCCAATGCCAGCACCACTTTTGCTCGACTGCAGTTATTATAGTAGAATGGAAATTTAACTGGCTTAGTAAACGGAATAATGTACACCAAGTACCATATAATTATTTTTTTTTTTTTTTCAATTATATGTAATTATTAAATAATTTCTCTGTTAAATTTGTTCTTTTTATTATGAGTTCAGTAAAATTTGGTAATATAATTATAAATTTTATATCTAAGATATTGAATGCCCCTAATGTACTGAACATCTAACTGTTGCATGTACTGTTTTTGTTTATAAAAATCTGTCGTGAATCTCGCTCAACATATTTCTAAATTATGTTGCGTTCTCACACACATTCTCGCTTACTAGAGCGAATGCGCGGATAAGTTACCGGTATTTACTCTCTTATAAATATAAGAGTTTGCCTATCAATAGTTAGCTCGTTGTTGAAATTAAAACTTTAAATATTTACAAAATTAAATTGGGATCCAAAAAAAAAAAACAAATAAAAATTTTACTGTAATATATGTATATATTTAGATTTAGAAACAAAATACAAAAAAAATTTTCATTTTACTTAAATTTTAAATGTTTGCTTTGTCGTTCGACAGAAACCACTTCTGAAAGGCTCTTGAGTGTATCAATAATTAGAAATTAGATAGGACACGCTTTCGATGCAAACTATTAAATCAGAACGAGGGTCCCTTCTTGAGCATCGCATTTGCAGTGGAACATGAAACCCTTGCGAGGGTGTTACTTAAAGCCAGCCAACACACTTCACTTCATGCCTCTTTTAAAAGCAACTAAAGCTTGTTTTGAATAGGTATAATACACACATGTACATACTGGTATAAATATATATATTTTATACCGTCAACGCACTTGACACCTTTTTTCCAGGAAAAAGCAAGCCGGGCTCTCAATAATTCTCTGATATTCCCATGATATATAAAGTGAAAAAAGAATAAATTCCAAAGACGATTTGTTTGTGTCTGGCGCAGAGCACTGTGTGCGATTTATACTCTCTATAGAGCACGCAGACTTGCGTAGATATATGTGGAAAGTGTAAAAATATGTAGAGTTGCGAGTTTTGTGTGCGTCTCGTTGCAGCATCATTTGCCAGTACCTAATTTTCCACCCAAATGCATGTTATTTATGACGTCATTTGGGGATTTGTTTGCATACAGGTTAGCTCAGAGAGACTTGGCATGTCATATGTATTACGTTCTATAGTAAATCTATACTATTAAGATGTTTGCTACATAATGTGAATGTGAAGTTGGCTTTAAAAATAAATGCAATAAAATGATAAAATAAAAATGTTTTGGTTTGAAATGCTGCCATTAAATTTGATATACGAATGAAATGGAATTTAATCATGTGTTTCGGTAACAAATTTAATTCAACACGTACAAGCATTTATGACTTAAATTTAAGACGCTTTTGAATAATACAATTTTTATAAGGAAATCAGTGGGAAATAAATTAATTTTCATTTCAAATCGAAATTTTAGTATTAAATCATTTTGAGTTGAAAAATAAAAAGATGGATGATTAAACTCTTGGCAATAAACGCAATTTATATCTTTAAAAAAAAAAGAAACCCGAATTTCTGTTTGAAACGAAAGTAAAATTCGCCAAATGGGGAATTCTATGCTAGCAGTTTATAATTCATCCAAAATTTAATTGCAATCGTTGCGATGCATCGAGTAATTATTTTGTGTACAATTTTTTATTTATATATATCTATATATTATACTGTATTAAATATTCGTTAGTTAACTACTAATTCTTTTCATTTCAAAAGCCTTATGCTAATTTGGGAGACTCCAGCTGATCATGACAGGAATATTTTTAAATGTTTGACAAGCTACTACAAATTCAAGATATTGTTTATTAAATAAAGCCTTTCACCTTGAAGCATGAACACCTTTTATAAAATAGAAATGCTTAAATAAAACTACATATAATTATTTACTGCAGCTGACTGCAGTTGACGGTGCTCGAATTGCTTCCAACTGAAACAGGTTTCGAAGCTGTGACAATTTATGACGAAATTGTACTTTCTTTTCCAAAAACATGTGTGCAGTATATTGGAAATGGTGCATTTCAATGACAGCACATTCGCTGCGTATGTTGATGGAATAAATGCGCTGTCAGCGCATTTCTGAAGCTCGTAACCCTTTTCTGGTTTTCTCCCCCCGCGCCGGCAAGTAGAGAAACGTCTACAACATGCTGTCGACAGGGAGATTTAGGTACAGAAACGCAAGCAAAATAAAGTGAAAGTCAAAGTCGATGGAGCTTCAACATGACAGCCAATTGAACCAACCTCTAGAAGTCCTCCCACTTTAACTACACACACACACACACACATAAACACAGAGAGTTTTGATATAGCGCGAGAGGACTTGACTGTGAAGTTGGGTGAATGGAAAATATCTTTGTATTGGTAAACGGAATAGCATAAGGTGAGGAGTCTAAAGTACGCAACAATGGGCAACAATTTGGAAGATTTCCCCCTGATTTATTCGTGTGAAACGTGCGAGCGTCTGGATTTTCCCTCTGCCGCCTCAATATATTCGATTCATTTTGGAGCACAAAGCGATAGCAACGAGCAGGTCAAAAGCATTATTTGCTTATTTGGTAGTCTGGCTTAAAGTGTTCCGTTTGCTTGTAGAGTTAAATACTTGACTAGGATGAAAAGAAGCCAACTATTTTCTTTTCTTTTTTGTAAGGTCTTTACGTTTCTTACTTTGAATTAATTAATTAATAAGAAAACTTTTCAAGCTTGTATCATTTTGAGAGACGCCATTTAGTACAAGTTAATTGAATTTTAACAAAGTCCACCATAATTTGAGTTTGTTATGGAAAAGAATTGCACAGCGAAAGCTATCATAAACTGCAGGCAAAGTAATTACAGAAACAAAGCGCCAAGTGCCAAGTTTGTTGCGCATTGTTTTAAGTTTTGTGCTAAGCTTAAGTTAGCTGGGAATAACAAAAGACACTTGGCACCGAGCCTAAGCGGGCAACCTATGCCAAACTCATTTGGCAAACAAGCCTCAGATATGGAGAGCATGTTCAGTGCACTGGAAATACTCGATGACATGTTGGCAGTCATTCCTGCATCAACTGTCAAGAGGAAGAAAGGCGAAAGACTGTTTGAAAGAGAGAATGGGAAAGAGGGAAGAAATAAGGCAGAGCGATAGAGCAAGTGAATGATAAGTTCGAATCAAATTAAACTTTTCTTTAAATTTGTTTTTAAGATAAGAGTGGAAACATCAGCTGTCTTACT